TAGCAGTCCATGGTACTTTCAGCACTCTTCACCAACACAACTCAAAAGCATGAACTCTTCTTTGGTCTTCCTTATTCATTGTCCAGCTCCCACAAACATATGAGGTGATTGAAAATACTATGGCTTGGGTCAGGCACAACATAGTCTTCAAGGAGACATCCTTGCTCTTCAACACTTCAGGTCTTTTGCAACAGATTTGCCCAATGCAATATGTCTTTTGATGTCTCGGCTGCCGCTTCCACTGGCATTGATTATAGAACCAAGCAACATGAAGTCTTCGACAACTTCTATCTTTTCTCTATCTATTGTGATGCTGCTTATTGGTCCAGTTGTGAGGATTTTTGTTTTCCTCATATTGAGGTGTAATCTGAATCTGAAAAGTGCAGACTTTAATTGTCATCAGGAAGTGCTCCAAGTCATCCTCACTTCCAGCAAGCAAAGCAGTGTCATCTGTGTACCAAAGGTTGTTAATGAGTCTTCCCCCAATCCTGATACCACGTTCTTCTCCATATAATCCAGCTTCTCAGATTATGTGCTCAGCATACACAATGAATAAGGGTAGTGAAAGGAGACAACGCTGACACACTCTCTTCCTGATTAAACCATGCAGTATCCCCTTTCTATGTTCAAATGACAGCCTCCAGGATGATGTACAGGTTCCTCATAAGTACAATGAAGTGTTCTGGAATCCCCATTCTTCTCCATGTTATTCACAATTTGTTATGATCCACACAACCAAATGCCTTTGCATAGTCAAGAAAACACAAGTAAACATCTTTCTGGTATTCTTTGCTTTGAGCCAAGATCCACGTGACATCATCTGTGATAGTCCTCACTCCACATCCCCTTCTGAATCCAGCTCGCATTTCTGGAAGTTCTCTGTCAATATACTGCTGCAACTGTTTTTGAAATATCTTCAGTAAGCTTTTATTTGCATGTGATATTAATGATATTGTTCGATAATTTCCACATTCTGTGGGATCACCTTTCTTTGGAATGGGTACAAATATGGATCTCTTCCAGTTAGTTGGCTAGGTAGATGTCTTCCAAATCTCTTGGCATAGCTGAGTGAGTGCCTCCACTGGGGCATCCATTTGTTGAAACATCTCAATGGGTACTCTGTCAACTCCTGGAGACTTGCTTTTCACCAATTCCTTCACTGCAGCTTTGACTTCTTCCTTCAATAACATTCATTCTTGATCATATGCCAACCTCCTGAAGTGGATGATCATCTACCATTTCTTTCTTGGTATAGTGACTCTGTGTATTCCGTCTTCTTTTGATGTTTCCTGCATCATTCAACATATTGCCCATGGAATCTTTCAACATTAAAATTCAAGGTTTAAATAGTTTTTTTTCAGTCCTTTCAGCTTGCAAAATGTTCAGAGTGTTCTTCTCTTTTGCTTTTCTAACTTCAGGTCTTCGCACATTTCATTATAATAACTGACCTTGTCTTCTCGAGCTCCTCTTTGAAATCTTCTGTTCAGCTCTTTTATCCCGTCAATTCTTCCATTCACTTTAGCTACTCTCTGTTCAAGGCAAAGTTTCAGAGTCTCTTTTGACACTCATTTTGGTCTCTTCTTCCTTTCCTATCTTTTTAATGCCCTCTTGTTTTCTACATGGAAGATGTTCTTGCTGTCATCCCACAATTCCTCAGGTTTTTGGTCACTGGTATTCAATGCATCCAATCTATTCTTTAGATGGTCTCTAAATTCAGGAGGGGTATATTCTGGATCTCATGGACTTCTTTTAAGTGTCTTCAGCTTTAACTTGAACTTGCATATGAGCAGTAGATGGTCTGTTCCACAGTCAGCTCTTGGCTGTGTTTTGGCTGAAGACGTTGAGATTCTCCATTGCCTGTTTGCACAAATGGAGTCAATCTGATTCCTGTGTACTCCATCTGGAGAAGTCCACGTGTATAGCCACTGTTTACGTTGTTGAAAAAAAAAGTATATGCAATGAAAAGGTCATTGGTTTTGCAAAATTCTACCATGTGATCTCCCATCTCTTCTATCACCAAGGCGATATTTTCCAACTACTGATGATTCTTCATTTCCAACTTTTGCATTCCAATCACCAGTGATAATCAACACATCTTGATTGCACATCGGTCAATTTCAGACTGCAAAGGTTGATAAAAATCTTCAATTTCCTCATCTTTGGCTTTGGTGGTTGGCACGTAAATTTGAATATAGTAATATTAATGGGTCTTGTAGGTGTATGGATATTATCCTATCACTGACAGCACTGTACTTCAGGACAGATCTTGAAA